CTCTCGCATGTGTGGTCCAGCTCCTCGTGGTCTTTGGGGGCCCTAAGATCTGGGCATAACAGGACATGTTCCTGGCCTGGAACTCCCTCTGTAGAGCTGACTTGAACTCACAGATCTACCTGCCTCTGCCTCCCAAGTGCTGGGACTAAAGGTGTGCACCATCACACCAGGACAGCTCTGTAAGGCTTGTTGTTGTTTTTGCACACTCTTAGATGTGGATAACCTACCCCTTCTCCACTCCAGTTTAAAGCTTTAACCCCAGCACTCCTTCCCTGCACTTTCAATCTCATGAGTCGCCCCGTACTCTCCTACCATCCCCTTCCAGCTTCCTGATGCCTGCAGACATTCCAAATAACAAACACAAAGAAAAAACTTGAAGCTAAGCTCTACAGATGAGAGATGGTGTGTGTTTGTCTTTCTGGGACTGGGCTACCTCAAAACAGTGTGATACTTTCTACATACATCCATTTTCCTAAAAATTTTATGACCTCATGCTTTCTTTCAGCCTAATAGAAATCCCTTATATGTAGGCAGCACACTTTTCTTATTGTTCCTCGTTGTACACTTCAGAGCTGATGCCATCTCCTCGCTGTTGTGAGTGGAGCAGCCGTGAACACGGACACACAGGTGTCTCTGGAGATGGCCATGGCATCCTCAGGTTGTGTGTCCAGGGTGGTAGAGCTGGGTACAGTTTCAGGCTTTTGAGAAACATGCAGGCCGACTTTCTCAGTGGCTACGCCCACTCAAGGTCCCACCAGATATGAGTCTTTGTCCCCACAGGCATGTCAGCATTTGTTGTCGTTTGTGTCCTTGATAATACCCATTCTGACTAGGGTGAGATGGGACCTCAAAGTAGTTTTAGTTTGGCTTTCTCCAATGGCTAATGATGTCAAATACCTTTAGAAATATGTGTTAGCCATTTATAGCTCTTCTTTTGAGAACCCTCTGTTCATGTCACTGTAGTCCTTTTTGATTTAGTCATTTGTTTTCTTGACATTTAGTTTCCTGAGTTCTTTGTAAATTCTACTAATCTTATGTCAGATGTACAGTTAGCAACTGTTTTCAACTATTCTGTAGGTTTGCCTCTTTACCTGATTGCTGTACAAAATCCTCTTTCATTCCATGCGCTCTCATCTCATTGTTGAACTAAAGTCTTTTTCCATGCCTTCGTCTTCAAATGTTTTACTTTTTGCCATTGTACTTTCAGAATTACAGATCTTAAGTCATTGCCTTTGATCCATGTGGAGGTGAGTTTTGTACTGCGTGGGGGATAAGACTCTAACTTCATTCTTCCATGTGTAGCTATCCAGTTTCTCCAGGGTTGGTGAACATGCTCTCTCTTTCCCCAATGTGTGTTTTTATGAAAAAAAAGTGGGGGGGGGCCTCAATTCTATGTCTGTCACTGGTCTATGTTTCTATACTTTAGCCAACCCTGTGCAGGTTTCTCTACCATGCTTCTGCAGTATAATTTGAACTTGGTAATACTTCCAACAGCATTGTTTGTGCTCAAGATTTCTCTGGCTATCAATTCCATTTGAATTTTAAAATTTTTTTTGTATTCATGAAAAATATCACTGGAATTTTTATCAAGATTTCATTGAACCTGGGTATTGCTTTTGATAGATATTTTGAATTTTGTCATTTTTTTTTTGGTTCTTGTGATGGGTGTGGGAGGTCTTTCCATCCTCCAGTTACTGTCTCTGTTTGTTTCTTTCTTCAGTGTTTTGTTTTCATTACAGAAGTCTTTCACAGCCTTGCTTAACTTTGTTTCAAGGGTTTTATTTTTGAGGCAATTGTGCATGGAATTACTTTCCCTGGTTTCTTTCTTACATATGTTTGTCATTGGTACATATGAAAGGCTACTGATTTCTGTTTGTTGATCTTATATCCTGCCACTTTGTTAAAAGTGTTTATCAACTGTAGAGATTTTTCTGGTGGATTTAGAGTCTCATATAAAAATAATATCGTATGATGTTCCTATCCTATTTGTACCTTTCTCTTGTCTTATTGATCTTGCTAAGACTTCCAGTTCTATAATAAATAAAAATGAAGAAAGTAACACCCATATCTTGTTCCTGAGTTTAGCAAAAGATGCTGGTTTTCCCCATTTAATATTATGTTGGATGTAGGTTTGTCATATATAGACTTTATCATGTTGAGGTATGCTCTGTTTCAAATTTCTTGAGAATTTTAGCATAAAAAATTTATCAAAAGCGTGTTTTAGATCTATCAAAATGATCATGTGATTGCTGTCTTTGTGACCATTTATGTAATTTATAACACTTTTTGATTATGTGTATTGAGCTACATCATAGTGAATGATCTTTTTGGTGTATTATTAATTCAATTGGCAAGAATTTTGCTGAAATAACTTGAATTTATCTTCATCAGAAAAATTATTTTGTAATTTTCTTCCTCTTTACCTTTCTTTCTTTCTTTCTTTCTTTTTTTTTTTTTTTTGACAATTTTTTTCCTGCTTTTGGTACCAGGCTAACGCTAGTTTCATGAAAAGAGTTTGGTAATGTTTCTTAATTTTCTCCTTTATGGAATATTTAGGAACCATTGCTTAAGAAGGTGTGGCAAAAATCCACTGGTGAATTAATCTGGGCCTGGACTTTTTTAATTGGGAGATTTAAAAATTACTGCTTCAGTTTCACTACTTGCTATAGCTCTGTTTAATTCATGTTTGTCTTATCTTGATTTAATTTGATAGCTCATGCACATCTAGAAATTCATTCATTCCTTTTAGATTTTTCAGCTTAGTTAATATTTTTAAGGTAAGACCTTAAAAAAGACTTTTCTGAATTCCATTAGTATCTGTTGTAATGGCGTCTTTTTCAATGTTAATTTTATTTGTTTAGGTCTTCTCTTTCTTCTGTGTAGTTAATGATTTGCCAATCTTGTTTATCTTTTCAAAGACAATTCTTTGTTTCAATGATTATTCTAATTGTTTTTTGCTATTTATTTGTTTCTTTCCATCTCATTAATTCCTGTCCTGATATGACTTATTTCTCTTCGTGTCTTTTGATTTGGGGTTTGATTTGTTCTTCATTTTTCAGGGCCTTGAGGTCCATCATTAGGTTATTTATTGGAGATCTCTCTGATTTCTTTCCTTCTTCCTTCTTTCTTTCTCCTTCCTTCCTTCCTTCCTTCCTTCCTTCCTTCCTTCCTTCCTTCCTTCCTTTTCTTTCTCTTCCTTCCTTTTTTTCTTTCCCGCTCTTTCTTTCTTTCCTCTGTCTCTCCTTCTAAGCCTATATAGTCCTGGCCATCCTGGAACTCTGTATGTAGATCACGCTAGCCGGCTGGCCTCCTTGCCTCCAGCTGACAGACATTCTCGTGCCTTTGACTCTCTGGTGCTGGAACTGAAGCATACCCTGTTCTGCCTGGCCTCTCTGACTTCTTAATCGAAGCACTCAGAGCTATAGATTTCCCTGGAAAGACTCTTTCATTGTAACAGCATAGATTTGTTACGTTGTTTACCCAAGAGGGAGCCTGATTTGTTCCGAAGATTTCTGATTTGATTGTTCAAACAAAGGCTATTCTCTATATTCATTGAACAGCACAGCAAATATGACACTGAAAAAAGAGTGAGGAACTTTTGTCTTAATCAGTCTCTTGCAGGAGTCTCACACGGGAATTTTCTAGCCCTGTTGACTCAGGGCTGTGCACAAGTATTAGATGTTATCAGCACTCGCCCACATGCCGCTGTCAATATGCTTTGTGGGGGATTTTGGTTTCAGTGCCTCGCTGCTTTATGATCCTGGGTCCTGGACCACATTCACGGTCGTGAAAAAGAAAAGGAAATATGCTATATTGGTATACTGGGGAGTAAGATTATTTATACTGTTTTTCTTAAAGACTAATTATTTTTTGTTTGCTTTTGTTTTTGTTTTTTGATATAGGGTTGCTCTATTTACTCTTAGCTGTCCTGGAACTTGCTTTGCAGACTAGTCTGGCCTTGATTTCAAAAGAGATGCTCCTGTTTCTGCCTTCTGCGTACTGGTATTAAAGGTGTGCCTCACCATTCCAGGTATAAAGCCAGTTAATTCTAAACAGACTATCTATACAATATGTAAGCATAATGTTATAAATAATTATATATAACGTTATAAATTGTTATATAACTATTATAAATAAATAGCTATAAATGATCTCAAAGAACATTATTAAGTTAGTTGCAGCCTAGGTGAAGGTTTGATTTGGAAAGGCAAGCTACAATCAATGAGCATTTCTCAGAGAAGTCGTTCCCACAGCGTGTATGGGGGGAGGGGCTTCTTACTGGGCAACCTAGTCTTGAAGCCTCGATCCCCAACACCACTCAGCAACATCAGAGCCTCTAAAGATACAGAAATGTACTTAAAACCAATGACAGCCCATGATCTATCACCAGAGTCACAGAACTAAAAATCACCAGACCAGTGTGGATTACGCTAGGACCTTACAAATTCTTTAGGGTAATTGTGTAAACGGAAAATGAAATGAGATAGGCTAGCAGAGGAAAGAGGGATGCTAAATAGACAGAGAGGAAATAAGCAGCAGGTAGAGAAGAATGCTCTAGAGGAAAAGAGAGAGTGAGGACTTCGAGGGGACAAAAGGCACCAACAGTGACAAAGTTCAGAATAAACTTGAATACATTTATGAAAGGGAATAAAATAAAAACATGCGAGGATTTTGTAAGCCAATAAAGTAAAGTCAAAATACTGCTAAACATGTTTATGTGTCAGGGAGGAGACAGAAAGGCAAAAAAGAAAACATTGTCCTAAAAGGAAAAAGAAAAAAATGCTTGAACAAAATTAGGTGAGTATAGGGCAGGGTTGGGGGTGTTAAAGAACAAAGAATAAGAATTTAAATACAAGAAAATAAACACTTTGTTACATGTCGTGATGCTGCAAATTAATAATGGCTGTTGGGCTATATAATTTTTTATTATATGCCCTATCTTTATCACGGCAGTATCATCTCACCCGCTATCACAAATAATAAGACACAGACACTTGTTAGAGTTATAATTGCCTTATTTACCTTGGGCTGGGCAGGTGTTTCACCTACACTGTCTGAGTAACCTCACCATCCATTTCCCAGCCCCATCCAGTGCCATCTGCCTTAATCTTCATCTGATCTACCCTTCATCCGTAAGTTCATGGTACTTGCTTGTATTCTTCATCTGGGCTTTTCACACCATTATTGGGAGTCCTTCATCCTGGCCCATGTGTTTGTTTGTTTGTTTTCTCCAGGCTAACACATTGTGGCGCCCTCCTTCTTTCTTTCCTCCTGTCCATCTGTTTCTCCGTCATTCTCCAAATCCCAGGGAACCCTAGCCATGCCTATCCCATTCTGCCCTGCCCAGCCATAGGCTGTTTAATCAACCAGTCAGGTATGTCTTAGGTTTACACAAACAAGGATGGGTATTTCGGCAGGCAGTAACCAGATCTTCAGGGCCAGTATTTAGCATTAGACCAACCTCCAACAGTGTGGAAAGGACGAAAAGCGCTACGAATCATCTGAAAAATAAAAAAGACAAAGCTAAAGTGGTAAAGCAGCTTTACCCAGAATTCTGACAGGGCTGTATGTTTGGTTGGGGGAGGGTTCCAATTGTGGATTTATGACTTTGGCTTCTACTGTTACTGAGTTACACTGGGCAGGCACCCAATGCTCACCAGAGCTGTGGATCCAAGGTCCCTGAGGACCACGCTTAACCCTTGCGTTCCGTGCACACTGGCGTACAAGGCTGTTGATGTAGCTCCAGGATGACTGTTACAGCTGAGGGATGCCTGTCCAATGGCATGTCTGAAGCAATCACAGCATGAGCTTAGTAGAGAAGGAGCCAGCCACCATGCCTGAGGACTTTTAAGGCTATTGAGTATCAGTCACTGATAGAGGGAAGCCACGATGGAGGTCATGTATCCTAGAGCTTAAGCGTCTAGTCAGCGCTCTTTACTTGACTTGTGAATCGTACCCGACAAATTTCAGCTACGTTCCTTTGGTGAAAACTGTGTCATACAACACTGGTTTGGGTAATGAGCCTGAAATAAAGTTGAATTTTATGAACAGGAGGGACATTGATCAGTCAGGGACTAATCTTGGCTACACCAGTGTTCACAAACTGCTCCAAGAATGATGTCTTTTGAATATGCCCCTTTCTCTGCAATGATTAAACTTGCCATGAGCAAATTTTACAGTGAATAAATGCATCTAAATCCCACGAGACAATGCATTCTCAAGTCAACACTCTTAAATCTCAGCTAAAGACGGCAGAACACTTGGGGGGGGGGGGAATCAGGTATTGCTTGAAAATAAGTTTGCAGGAAGTGTGACTTTGCTATTCTTACAGCAGAAACATGGGAACCGTAAGGGGGTGATAACACAAAAAGTAATACTGCTGTTCACTGGGACCACAAATCTGGATACTTCCAGTCTGGAACTGTCCGGGCTCCTCAGGGCTATGGCGGCTGACTTCAGCTAAGAACAGCTTTTTCTGAATAACTGGAGAGAGGCTAGGATCTACAGATGCACGATTCCTCTCCAAATCCTTGACAAGCCTAGCTTTAAGGTACAGTCCCGGATGTAGTGGGGAAAACTGACCTGAACTACTGCGGGCTGCTTGTCCTATTTGCAGCGGGCCATGTGTAGCTGACCACAGACACAGTAGTAAACTTGACTAGGAGAAAACAGTTGCTATATCATCTCTTATGAAAAAAAAATTGCATTCAAACTTATCTTTCTTTATTCCTCAGTTCTATGAGGTAACATACCAATTGGCTCACAGTTGGAAGTCTCTGAAGATGCTGGTTCCTGGGAGCACTGAGGGACCGTGTCACTGATTTGATAGAACAATGAAGGTCGTAGGTTTAAGGAGTTAAACGTGCTGTTTCTGCTCATGGACAGAAATTTGGTTTGCTAAAAGCCAAATATCAAATTGAAAAAAATTTATTTTAATTAGCTATTCTAAATTCTAGCTTCAACAATGTTTAGCATCAGTTATAACAACAGAAGATATTGATTTTTTTCAACTGAGTAAGATTTTTTTTGTTTTTGTTTTGTTTTCCAGACAAGGTTTCTCTTTGTAGCCCTGGCTGTCACGGAACTTGCTCTGTAGACCAGGCTGGCCTTTGAGATCTGCCTGCTTCTGCCTCCTGAGAGCTGGGATAAAAGGCATGTGCCACCGCACCTGATTTTTAAGAGAAAAAACAAAAAATAAGAATTTTAAAGCACTGAAGCAAGCTAGGCCAGAGCTGCTTAAGGAGACAAGCAAAGCACAGATGGGCACAAGAAATCAAGGCAATCAGTTGTCTGCATTGCTACTTTTTGAAAATGTTACTAGTGTGATATGCTTTGTCTTGTTCATATTTATAATTAGCTAAACCATCATCACTGGCTCTCACAATCTCCGTAATGTAGCTGTGTGAATTGGAAATTTGCATCCTGGTTTTATTTACTGTTTCACCCATTTCTGTGGGGTTTACCGCCACCAAAACCTCCGTGCATGCCGTCTCAGTCACTGTCTTACTCACTGCTCAAACACAGAGTTCCAGGGTACTCCTACTTACACACCTAGTCGTCCTAGTAACAATCTTACCTGCACCTCTGGCCAAATCGGATGCCATCTGCCTTCCTCTGGGCGTGCTTTAGCCAACTGGGCTTGGTAGAGGGCAGGTGCCATTTTCAGACCTGTGCTTGTTAGCTTGCTACTTGTCTGTCTTGCCTCTGGGTTGTAAGTTCCATGAAATGGGAACTAAGCCTCTGCTTATTCACTATTACCTGTGAGCAACTGCTGTGAACTGCAAATGCTACGTTCTCAAGAACTGTAATCAACAGCCTCAAACTTATTCTCCTCTCAGAACTTCTCTACACTTTCTCCTACAATTTGCCTTCACACACTCGGGGAAAAAAACAAACCTATTTGTGTATATCATGAATATGGCTTCAAACACTGGAAAGCAAACTACTTCATCAGAAAGTATGAAATACTTTAAAAAGGATGCATACCTTACAAAGTGCTCAGGCCTATGTGAACAAAAAAAGGACCTAACTGCATTGGTTCATACGTGTCTGTTCCTATCGTTTTCTTACCTTGTCTGCCTGGTAAACATTTGTGAATCTAGGCCTATCCCTGCCACCTACTTCAGTCGACTGTGGAACAGTGGGAAATGCAGAGGCTGGAGAGGGAGTCTGCCTCGTCTATTTAAAGGCGGCCCTGCCCCGGTTTACTGAGGCAGGCCCTCCATTCTAACTGTCCTGTTAGAATGGAGGGCCTGCTGTCTAACTGTCACACTCCTGTTGTCCACATTGACTGATACGGTAACCCTAGTTATCGTTTTTTAAGGTCACTACCTATTAAATACTATGCAAGTATACCAGACCTCTCTGTGTGTGTGTTGGGAGGGGGTCTTGAAGAACGTAGGCAATCCTCCACCCCCTTTTTCATCCTTTAGTATCTTCTTCCATCCTCGGCTCATTAGAATTTGGCTGGCAGGGAATCAACTGTACAGTGAATGCGTTCAGTTCACACATCTATGCATTTGAAACACTGTGATATTAGCCGACTTCCGGGACTTTGAGTGTGCAATCACAAGCGTTAGGTTCCTCTAACATTTTTTTATTTTTACGTCTCATTTCCAGACTGTCTCTATTAGAAAAGCCTGTTGGCAACGAGGCCACTCAGCTCCCAACTAGAATCAAGTTTCCCAGCCCACTCAATCTGAAAACCAAGGCAGGTGAAAGGCCTTATAAATATGTAAAGCCCAAGTTCACATTACAGTCAAGGAAATCCCTGAGGACTGATGTTCTTTTCAAGACGATTAAAAGAAAACAACAACAACAACAACACCCCAGCGATGTCACCGCGGGGCCCAGCAAAGGGAGATCCGGGGCGCACACTCAAGGGTGCCCCCGAGGGCTGTGCCGCTCCTGGCCCTCTCCCGCTTCCCGGAGGTGGAAGGATCCAAAAAGCTGGGCACCTCAGCCATTTTGTGTGTGAGGCGGGGCCGGCCACGAAGGGGTTCGGGAGCCGCGTGGGGAGGGGCGGGGGAGCCGCCTACGGTTTCGGCTGGCGTCGGGGATGCCACCTAGGCGGGCGCCGCGCCGCCCGGGGCTGCAGGAGGCCCCCGGGGCGCGGGCACCGCCGCGCGGGCATCCTCTCCAAATGGCCGCGTCCGCACCCAGCCTCCCCCCCACCCCGGACGCCGTCTCACGCGGAGCCCCCCGCGCAAGGGCGTGCCCGGGCGCTGGCAGGACGCGGCCGCTGCCATTGTTGTGCTCGGCCCTCCATCTAGAGCCCCGGCTCGGCCCGGGCGGCGGCGCTCTCCCGAGCCCGCTGGAAAATGGCACAGCCGAGCATTCTTTCCGAGCTGCGGGAGGCGGGAGCGAGGGCCGAGCTGGGCGGCCGCCAGCCAATCGGCGCGCCCGGCCGCCCGGCCGCCGGCCAATCGGCGCGCCCTCCCGCCCGGCCGCCGGCCAATCGGCGCAGCCGCCCGCCCGCCAGCTCCGAGTTGTTAACCCCCAGCCTCCCGCCGCCGCCCGCTCCGCAGCCTCCAGCCTGCTCCAGTCCCCGAACGCCCTCGGATCCTGCGGCTGCCCGCCCCGCTCCGCCGCCCTCCATGGAGGAAAGTCTCACTTTTGATTTACCAAAGGTTTTGAGGATGTTTGGAGATCCGTGCGCGGCCCGGGGGCTGCCTTTTCTGGACAGCCCGGTCCCCAGCCTGTATTGTGGCAATTTTCTCCCGAGAGCTGGCTGCTGCTTTGCCCCCGCGGATGGTAAGTTTATAATTTTAAACATTCTTGGCATGGCATCTTTGAAAGGGGCACCGGATCAGGGAGATTTTTTTCATTGTGCTTCTCCTCACGAAGCCAGTCTGTGTGTATTTCTCTGGCTTCGGTCTCTGCACGTTCCACCTAATTTAGGTGGTTATTTATTTTTATTTTTATTTTTTTTTTACCAAAAAGGAAAAAAAAAATGAGTTTTCCTCTTCATTGTTAAAGATAAACGTATATAACGAAAATCAGACTTCAATTGCTGTGAACTACAGGGGAACTCAGATGCCTCAAAATGGACTTTTTTTGTGTGTGCCAGCAATGTTGCTGGTGCCAAATATGTACACATCCTCTTTATAAAGATTGTCTGCTGCCTGATTTGTCCAGAGTAAATCACCACCACGCAAACTACCGTTGTAGTTTTTTTTTTTTTGTTTGTTTGTTTTTGTTTTGTTTTTTGATTTTTGTTATTCTGGTTTTTGTCCTTTTTAACAGACCCATTGTGGCTCCCTTGATGGAGTTCTTGAATACAAACTAGAGAGAGCGGCTCTGCCGTGAGGAAGGTGGAGATTGACGTACCCTGGTTTAAGTTATGGCTGTTGCTCAATAGTGGGGCTTTCATTGCCGAGCGGTTCTAACTTGTGGCTAGGATGAGATTTCTTTAAAGCTCTTTGTCGATTCATCCCTGCAGATCCTTCCTATGTTTCCTCCAGAAAGGTACATTTGGGAGACATTTTGGAATTTTTGGCTTCTTCTTCTTCTTCTTCTTCTTTTTTTTTTTTTAGTTTTCTTCTTTTTGCACACGGTGGGAGATTTTTTTTTTTTTTTTTTTTTTTTGTTCTGCATTGATCTGTGTTGGTGGCGCTGTAGTGCTCCTCCACAATTTGTCAGTTTTACTAAAAGAAAAAAGGAAGAAAAAAGGTGGGGCAAGATTTTATCTATTATTCTTTAATTTTCATAAAGAAAGTTCCGTTTGGCCAGCTGTGTCATTTAAGCGTTTTCATGTGGCCTGTGCACCGTGGTGAGAGCAGGCATGTCGTCACATCCAATCCAGGCGACATTGTGGACAAGCATGCAGTTGGCAGTTGTGTTTGATCTGAGCTGATTTATTATGTCTGTCAGATTCTTTAATATTAGCTCTTGTTTACCGGGTCTCTCTTCACCTGCATTCTATATGTATATTTCTCTTATTTTACAAAACCATGCCTGTTGGTACCCTTTCAGTGTAACAGAACATTTGAGTATTAGTTTCTTGGACACTGTAAAAGTTGAATTTTATTTTGAATCAAGGGATTTCTCAAATCCATCTTCTGAGTCTGTCTTGAGGATTTCTAGGAGCTTGTCGTGTCTGCTTTCTTTTGAGCGGCCCTTGAATTTATAGAAGCCTTGTTTTAACAGGAGCAAACATTTTCATTTTCATTTTTGGAACAAGATGGTTTTTTAAGAATATTGCTCACGTACTTTTTAAGTTAAAAATACTGATGTGCACACATCTGAGGACGGGTACATCTTTGTTCTTGAGAGTTATCTGATTAGAGACTGTGGGATTTAGGCCCAAAGCCTGCCAGGAACAAAAATATGTCACACTATGACATCGGTTTTACTGGTCTGTGTAAACATCTTAGTTGTTTGTGAAGGTAATGGGGGTGCTCTCAGTTCAGAAAGAAAGTGGAGGGATCAGTAATTAGACCTTGAAACATGGTATTTGCCAAATAAAATTAAGACAAGCGAACCAGCGCCTGGATGATGTGATTAATGGGTTATGTCTTCAGAGAGTGACAGTGTGTGGAGTTCAGTGTCTTTATTTACTCTGAGAGGCGTAAATGCCCTTCTCACTAATCCTTTAACGGTCTGGAGTACAAGAATGTGTGAAAATGAGTAGAAATAGCATTTCCCAGAATCGGTTTGTCTCTTGCCTTGAACTTCCGAATAATCAAGCCCAGCGCCGATATTATGTTTATACCACACTCGGAAGGCTCGGAAGTGCTTGCTGGCACATTTCATTTTCTTTCTTTGTAAAGTGTAAATGCGGCTTCCAGCGTGGTCGGGAAGGTATAGATTATGTATGGAATGAAATATTGCAGGTGTAAATATTGTCTGACCTGCTTGTGCTGGAGGCTTTAGCTCTCTGAAGTTGATCAGCTGAATAAAATATGCCTTCCAGCTGAAATATTCTGTCCTCCATAATGCAGTAATTTTTCATTTTTATTTTTGGAATCTTGGTGTTTGTCTATGTCGCCCTTGCTGGAGCAAACTGCACTGGGAAGTCCATCCGTAGCTATGCAATCCTCTTTGTTCTCCTGACTATTACATCATTGATTATGAAGTAACCATTAGAGTTCAGTCGTTACTTTTGAAAATCACTGGCAGACGTTTCTGTTACAAACTGTTCTGTGTGTGACCTTCCCATCACTGTGTAAGTGAAGGGCTTTACATCTATGAGGTAAAATGATTCCCTGTTTTTTATTAGTCTCCATTTTAAAATGTACCTGGTGCTTCGTTTTAGCTCTTGATTCCCTGGGAATTAATTCTTTTTAACTGATAACATTTCATAGACATTTAGTCCATGAGTTTGGTGTGGTCATGCTTAGAATTATAACACCATATTTTCTTTTGATTATTGAAAAAATCCTTTATAAAATTTAACATGTAGAGAACTAATTTATTTTTTCGCGGCAGCAATTGCTTGGTCATGGATAATCAAAAATTATTTTTTTCAAAATTCTGCTTTATCTTTTCAGTCAAATTGATACTTGTTTTGCATCTTGTTTTATCAGAGATAGTGGTAGCAAGTAGCAAAATTGACTATTAAAATACCGTGTGTGTGTTTGTGTGTGTGTGTGTGTGTGTGTGTGTGTGTGGCCTATCCCTCTTGTGGAGGGAGAGATTAATGAACAGTGAAATGGTCAGGAAACAGGTTGCAGCAGGAAGGAAGGCTACAGAAGATAGGGACAGTCTTTCAGCTAGAGTCTAAACAATACACCTCAGGAAAAAAAAATGAATTTTGAACCCTCAATAATAAGAATAAAGTGAAATTTTTATTCAGACGTCATGTACTGAACCAATATTGCTTCCTAATTCATTACTTTGTTGTCGTTGGTATTTGTAAGTATTGAGGATATTTCAGATTAGCCAAACCCATTAGGTAATAGATAATGGTAGAGCTGGGTGTGGTGTCACACGCCTTTAACCCCAGCACTCAGGGAGGCCCAGGCAGGAGGAGCTCTGTGAGTTCAAGGCCAGCCTGGTCTACAAAACAAGTCCAGGACAGCCAGGGCTACACAGAGAAACCCTGTCTCAAAAAACAAACAGACCAGGCAATGATAGGCTGAGTCTATCAAGGGCAAAACATCTGGAGGCATAGAGGTGAGATGCCGTGCTGACGACTCATGCTAAGGGCCAGGCTCCCTTAGCATGCTGAACTCTTCTAAAGGGAAGAATATTTACCACTTCGCTAAGATCTGAAGCCGAACATTTTGAATGCTGCAGTCTTTGCCCTCCTTGCACATATTTGCCGCTCCTCAGCTGTTTCTTGGACACATTGCAGATATTCTGCAAAGGTAATCTGCTGTTCCTGGCATGCTTTCGCCAAGGAAAGAAAAACAATACAGAAAATGGGTGTATTGTGTTCTGACTTATTTTTCATCTTTCTGCAATGACCCTCAAACGAAGACTCCAAACAGAAAGTAAGGCAGAGAAAAGATTTCATTCTTGCTGGCCATGGGGGTGCATACCTGTGATCCCAGCACTCAGAGAGCAGAGGCAGGTGGATCTTCCTAAGTTCAAGACCAGCTTGGTCTACAAATCCAGTCCAGGACAGACAGGGCTGTTTTTACACAGAGGAACCCTGTCTCAAAGAAAAAAAAAAAAAAAAAAAAAAAAGAACAAAAACAAAACAACAAACAGAAAAACAACAAAATATTTCATTCTTGAAAAGATAAACGCATGTTTATCTTATGCTTGCTATGTGCAAGCACATAGATTTTACAGGGGGGTTGATGGGGGCTTTCCTCTCTATCTGTAGGACAAGATGCTGGATGACAGTAGTGAGAAAGAAGGTACAGAGTTCTTCTCTTGTGTACCTCAAAGTCCAGCATGGCTTCATGCTCTAATATTGTTTTAAATCTGAGGCCTTGGAGTGGGGTATTCCTGTTTGGAGCCACTGATCATGTGTAATTTCTGGAGGTGAAAAAACTTGTTTAAATTTTAACTGTTTATGTGAATCTGCCAACAGTTTGGGCACCGGATACTCACAGCTAGGTTGGGGAGGGGTTGGTGGCCTTCATGTTTCAGCTGTAGCACAAAGAGATTCTACAGAACTAGGTAGCCACCTGACTCACGTTTCCCTTGCAAAGCAAGAAATCCAGCATTGACTTAGAGACATGAGAAAGTGCTTGGGAGGGGCCCCTGGAGGGCTGAGGCTGGGATGGGTCTCTGAGCCCCATTTGTTTGCCTGCTTGCGTGTTTGTATTGATGGTCAGAATTCAACCCAGCATCCTACGTGTTGACTTTTTAAAAATTGTTAAGCTGTGGTGTGTGGCACAAGCCCCAGG